GTCCATAGACATTTTTTCAAAGACTAGGGGGGCTATATCTTGAATATCAGATCAGCGAATCGCATTTAAACGTCAAAGCTTTTTGATATAGATCTATCATCGTCTTAGAACTCAAAATGTGTATAATTGGAAGCTATTTTGAGCTATTTCGAAAAATTCAGCGGGTTTCTAGGGGTAGTTTTTAGCCAGGAACTCAAATACGTCAATTTTTTTAATCTAAACTAATAGTAAATATAATATCCAACTAAAACTTTACAAAATCATGAATATCAATTTTCAAATTGTCCAACTATCCCCAAAAATTGTTCAATATTCTCAGTACCATTCTATTCTATTTTTTCCGTCCTTTTCAATGCCATCAACGGAATTAGTGTTACCAATTTTAGCAGTTGCCCCTTTAACCAGAGAAATACATATTAAATAAACGAAAACAGTTTGCTATTTTTTTTAGGGTCTAAGAAAATAATATAAATAGTACATTTGTGTCTCTTTTGTCAGCTTTCACATGACTGGGATGAAGTAACATTGATGACAGCGCAACTAGCTGAGTTTCAATCGTCCAGTTCTGTATCCCTTTTGCAGTAGTTCAGAGACCGTTTTGAAATTTTTGGTGCGGAGCAAGAACAAGGGGTGAGTAATTGTCAGCTTTCAAAGAAACGCTTATTGGAGGTCCCGCCCGCCACAGCCAATTTTTTTTTTTAATTTTTTTTTTTAATTAGCTTTGAAAATACGAAAGCTTCCTATCGTTTAAATAAAGCCATTTTATTAAAAGTATAAAAAATATTCATATGAAACAAGTAAAGCTCATTTTACTCACGAACTTTGCATCCCCAATAGAGACTCGTACCACTCGTCACAAAATACCGTCCCACCCACCATAAACTAAGAGATTTTTTTTTTTTTTTTTTAATATTCAGATATGATAATGCCATTAAAGCATAAAATGGGCCTTAACATTCTATTAGCCAAGTACATACGAGAAAGGCGCTTTGAACGAAATATTTATAGTTTGTCTAAAAGTGGGAAACGAATCTATCAACTCAGAGAGGCGGGTGCCACACAATGGGACGTCCCCATATAAGCGGCGGCCAAAAGTAGTAACCGTACTATAAATTCGCTGAAATTTCGTATATGCGCTGTTCGGCACTTAGGAATGAAGAAATGTGGAAAATGGTAAAATTAAACGCGCTTCCACGCCCACAGCTCTCGTGCTTATCCGATTTTGATGAAACTCAGAGCATATGCTGGTTTAACGAGAAAAGCATAAATCTGGAAGATCGTAAAAATCGGTTTGCATTATCGACTAATAATTCTAGAAAAATACGCAAATTTAAAAACAAAAAAAACAATATATTTTTTTGACAAATTCGGCGTGCCCTGCTCGTTTAAGCCAGAATTTTCCAACTTGAAAGATAATAAGGAATTTCTTGTTATGGCACCCACCGTCTACACAACCGTTTTGGCTTCAAGTACTAAATTTTATGACTGTTGGAGAAAACGAACAAGCACATTTATTTAATTTCTAAAGAAGTTCCCATTTCTTCATTTTAAAAATGACAAAACGAAAACATTTACAACACCTGCATACTAAATTATTTTCACGATATGAATTTACACTGCAGCTCTCATTTTGCCTAAATTTTATACAAAAAACACAGCTAAGGTAAGACCAGCAGTACTCTTGCCATCGAAAACGAATTTCGTCCAGAGAAGCGTCCATTTTTGGCTGACCTTTGAATGTGATTAATAGATTTGCGTGTCATTAATATCTACATCTTCTTTAAATTCCATTTTATATTGCATATTATTTATTTTATGCACAATTATATTATTATTTATTTTATGTACACACTAGAGTCTTTCCCTTCAGCTCTACAATGAAAATTCAATAAATTTTACAGGAGGTGGGTCTACAAAAGGAAGAATAGAAGCTGAACTCCCAGCTGGAACTATTTGAGATATGACACGCATATTTTATGTTTACTTGTCCGAAGTATATTTAGCTCACTTCCTAGGTCCTTTTTAAATATATCTTTTTAAAGTAAGCACTCGAAAAATTTTATACTCACAAAATTATGTAGAATTTCAAACTAAACTATTTTATACATTTCGAAAGATTTATAAAAATTTAAAGCAATGCTTGACCACAGATATATTCAAAAACTGCTCGTCAATCAGATTGGCTTTTTACATATGCGCACAAGTGGGAAAATTAATTCAAATTACTCGCGACAAAATCAAAATTTGTTATTACAAATTTATTTTTTCGCATTGTTCGTACTTTAAGCTCTTGTGAGTAGTCCACGTGCAAACAGCGTTATGTGATTCTATAATAGAAAGCCATACATTTGAAAAAACGACTACGACAACAAGTCACATTTAAAACAAATTTTTTTTTTATTATTATTACCTGAAAATTTGGATAAACAAGAGCCTTATAAAGTTGTAACATAACATAACATGACATAAGATAACATTAACAGTCTATACGACCTAAAGCAGTTTTCTAAATTCATCAGAAGATGTATAGTTTTGAAACTTTATAAATAAGTGTGATAGCGACTTTTGGAAGAAGAGTTAATATTTGATGCTATTTTTTTCGAATATAAAAAGATTTTGCACTGTGTTGTAAGTGGACATGAAACTACTTTAAATACCAAAACTCCTCCAAAAACTAAAAATCGAACAAAATTTTACATAGCGCTCTTTGCAAGTGGACTACTCATGTCATGATTGCAAATATGCTTTTTTATCAAAAATTCTTTTTGGCTTGGGTTAGCTGGATACTTGGCTATGTAGTATGTAGTAACGGAAACAACCCACATAAGGCATATACTCCGCGATAACGCGTACATATGTAGGTGTATTCTACATACCTTTTGTTTTATATTGCATAGTTTTTATATTATAGGTACTAGCGGACCCGCCGAACTTCGTGTTGCCTAAAATTAATTTTTTTACTGAAATATTTGGTCCAACATTTTCAACAACCATTCACGTTTACGATATCCAGTGATACATTTATCTGCACGACAGCAATTCATTTTTATATGTAAGGATTTTTTTTCGAATGGTGGCAACCCTATTAAATTTTTTTTGTATTAAATATTATACATTCTCAGTGAAATAACATTATAGCGGCTTATTTAAAATTAATTTTTGTTTTTTGATATTTCAGATATGCACCTAGAAAGAAACAAAGCAAATCCGTTGGGCCGTTCTTGAGTTATGCGATAACACACGAACAGTAATTCATTTTTATATATACAAATTTTTAAGAAAAAACTGACTTGTTATGAATTCAAAGTTATTAGGCAAAAAAAAAACAAATAGCCCGTACACAATGAAAACGACGAGCTACGGACCATAGCTGTCAAATTATTTTTCCACACTTTTTATAGGCAATTATTTTGGCGACGACAGGGCTACGCGACGACTGTGGTTGTGACCAGATTAGACCTATTTATATTTTTCTAGCGACAGCTAAGGTTCTTCCTCTTCTTTTATATTACACGCATACAAATTCACGATGTCGCTGCTGCGTCAAAAAAAAATCATTTCGCCATCGACAAAGTGTTTAGATAATGAAGATAACAAACTGGAAGCTGTGGCCCATAATTCGTCGGTTTCAATGTCGTTTCATCACTAAAAGTTGCAGTTTATCACTGCAGTTACTTCGAACGGCTCCGTACACATGCAGGGTTGCATTTTAAGCTTCATAATTGTGATTTCTGTGTGCGTTGGATATATTTTATTCGAAATTATATGCCATCTTACCAAAATAATAAAAAAAGAAATCGAGTTTCTGCCGAAAAATTTGGTTTTGTGACCATTGTGCAATATATGAATTTAAATATACATATGTACATACAGATCTATACAGATCTATATGTATGAAATATTTTTACGGCTTTTTTGTTGGATGCCGCCGTAGACTTGTAAGTATTGAGTGAAGCTAAAACTCAAAGGGTCTATTGTAAATATGAGCACCCAATAACAACAACAAAACACAAACAAAATTAATGAACATGATCTTAATTATAGTATATTAGCCAGTTTTATTACAAATGACATTTACCCATTTGTTTTTTTTTTTAACGGGGAATAAAAATTCAGTGCGAGGTATTTCGTGTGGATATTGACATGATAATGCCGCTTGTGTTAGTTTGTTTTTGTACTCTGAACTCAATGTTTTTTCACTGAACTGGTTATTTAAGAAAAATATACACACAAGGCGATAGCAAGTAAAAGAGCATAACTCAAACTAGGAGGTGTGAAAAATCGCGGGCACTACCAGTAATTGCAAGAAAATCATACCTAAATAAAGGGCAGTTCAAACACGATTTTGTTTTTTTTTTTTTTACTTTTATCGTTACTTTGCAAAAGAATACAAGCAGAAATTATAGAAAAAACTATATTTTAAGATAAGCAGATTTAGCGAAGAATGCGTAAAATATAATATATATATGTTTGAATGTAGTATTGCGGAAACTTGTTTGGTACATCTTTTATAATAGCTAAATGGCAAGGTAGATAGTGTACATATGTATGTATGTACATATGGATATATAAGTGTGCATATGCATGTGTAACATGCTCATGAACTGAACAACTTCGGATATGTGGCATACAACAATTAACTTCAGGCATACAGAAATGCAAACTTTGGTCAGCATATAACAATATGCAGGCATAAATATGTATACAGTAAGTAGATATGTATGTATGTATGTGGACGCTTGCATATGCATGTACATATATATGTAAGCAAGATTGTACAAACAATCATTTTAAGTGGGACACCACAAAATTCGCCTTCAGCCATAATATGAACGTATGTATGTATGTAGTTCCTATCATTTCCACATACAAGCATAAATGCATAAACTAACAAACAATCACTTTAAAGCATATATTGGTGCTTTAACGGCTAATTGAATCACTGTAAATATGCATACATACATAAGTATGTATGTAAATTGCATATAATTTGGGCTTACTTTTCCATTGACGGTATCCACTTCATCTGCCGCAATCACTATGCACGCTGCCTCTATCGATGTAGTAGTACTCATTCTGCTAGTTGCAATTGGCCGCTTATTAGTTTATGTTAATTTACCAACATTTAAAATCTTTTATTAGCGATTAAACTTTTAACTCTATGTCTCATTAAACTCACTCATTAAAGCTTTTGTCGCATTGCTCATTTAATCTAATACCGGCTTTTAATATGTAATTGTAACACACATTAAAGAAGAACTCATTTTCTATTGTTTTCTGAATAAAAATTTTCCACAAATTTATCGATGCTCTAAGCTAGTTAAATTCATCGATGAATTCGAAACCGTATAGGTATAATTTGCATTTGAAGTAGGATAGTAATTTTGTTTAAAGTTCGTCTCTTCATCGACTGAGATTAAAAACCGTACTAGAAACTTAACTGTTAACATACCAAAGCTGATATCACCAGCGAGAATGAGGAGCAAAATCTATATGGCCGTGACTTTACGGTTTTGACTGAACAAATAAATAGTGCTACTATAGCTAGTACCACTATACAAGTATATATTTATATACATATATAAGAGAAATTACCAAGTAAGCGTGTTTCTCTTAGCGTACAGACTACCAAGAGATTAAAAAAATCTGTTACTGATATTCTCTACTATACATAACAGTATATATTTATATACATATATAAGAGAAATTACCAAGTAAGCGTGTTTCTCTTAGCGTACAGACTACCAAGAGATTAAAAAAATCTGTTATATTTTTCAATAACAGGCCAGTCGTTTTTGCCGTGGGACCGATTTTGGCTGGGCAAACGGAATTTGAGAAAACTGGTCGGTCGAATTTATACTCCAGTAAGGACTTGCAGGAAAAGGCAAAGCAAATCCGATACAAATGTATAGATGTGTCAAACTATGGCAGTTCCTGTATGAATGCTCAAGAAAAATACCAAAAGTAGTCAAAATGTCACTTAACTTATCAGCTGACCAGAGTGCCTATATTTACAATCCATTGCTGAATATGTAGGCACACGCTTCATAGAATTAAGTTTGTGTAAATTTTAGTCAAACAAATTAGTTCAACCATCTTCTACAGTTACCGACGAAACTTCTCTTTTCTTCGTTTATGGTTGATGTCTACGTGAATACGTAGATCATGGGTATTACTAATTTTCCTGACACATTGGTTTCTTGGGGCCGGATATCTACACACCAGATGACTATACTCCGTATTGATAATCTTATTTATTGAATTCGTAGAACTGCATACATACAGTCAGTCAATAAAGTTTAGGTACAGCGAATTTTTTACAATACGGGCAACTATTTTTTAAATATTTTATTTTTCGCAAATTTTTTATAAAAATATGGTTAATTCTACAACAAAACCCCCAAAAAGAAAAGTTCCAAACCTTGTGAAAAATTAAGGAAAATTCTGCAAAATTTCATTCAAATATTGCACTTTTTATTTACCCTCTCTAGAAAAAAATTTTAGTATGCAGTTTTTAGCCCATTTAATTTTAGTATAATAAAGTGCAAGTATGAGGAAGCTAGGACTTACTGATTTTTGGGTTTTTTGTTGTAGAATTGACCATATTTTTATAAAAAATTATCGAAAAATAAAATATTTAAAAAATAGTTGCCCGTATTGTAAAAAATTCGCTGTACCTAAACTTTATTGACTGACTGTACATACAAATGTATGTATACATACGCATGTAGTATGGCCGATGCTAATAATGCAACAAGGTTAATTATAACATTAATCCAGTCAATAATGCTTATACACATTTGAGTAAACTCGTGCGGTCATGTACATACATATATGGGTCATACCACGTCAAAACGCATGCGATTCTGCCCAGAAATGGTGGAGACCTATAGTTATTTTTAAAAGGGGAAAAGTAAGTTTTTTTATTTAGAAACGAAAGTTATTTGGCGCTTATAAAAAAATCAAATTTTTGGTACTGGATCACCATTTACCAACCAGTTTCGAGAACAATTTCCTATGAATCGTTTATGAAGATTCAGATAAGCGACGACAACCTTAACTTAAGATGATATATGAAGATATGTTTTTGAGGTCACTAAATCCGAATCTGAAGTTAAAGCTCAAACAGACGGCAGCGTTGATCCGGACTAACACGGACTTAATCCGGATCAGCTGCAGTTAATTCGCGAGTTGATCCGAATCAACGCTGCCGTCTGTTTATGCTTTTAGATAGGAAAAATTAACAAATGGCGGATCCGATATGGCGGCAAAAAAGTTAAAATCGGTTAGATTCACTTACAACTTTACAATCGAGGGATCTTTATGTCGGTAATTACGAATCTGTAATCAGATTTCAAATGCTCAAAATGGCTGGTTGCATATTCGATCTACCATTTATGACGCCAAAGTTAAAATCGAACGTTCATACCTACATGGCGTATGAGTAACATTCTCATCTGGACTCAGTAACTCATACGCCATGTGCGCACGTTAGATTTTTACATTTTCGCGTTTTGACGTGGAATGGCCCATATACAAATATAATTTCGTACCTATAGAAAGTTCAGGTTCATATCTATGTACATAAGTACTACTGCTGCAGATTAAGACTAATGAAACGACAGTTACTTTTGTATGTTCAAAAACGTGTCAATATTTGTACGCACTTTTTATTTCTGTAAATGCAACTCTGATTTTAATATTGAACGAAGCGTTCTAGATTTTTCGATAAACTGAAAACTTGCTCATTGTCATAGTAAAGCTGTTGTAAGAGAACGAATAAGTAAGACAAGAGGAAATAATGTAATTTAAAATGGTATTAAACTTAATCTATTTTACAGATGTTAAAACGATTTATATAACTTTGATTTCGCAAATTTAAACTATTTGAATAAACGTCAGATGTTTTGATATATTCGCCTGTTTTCTTACACGGAGCGACAACAACTGCATATTATACTACACACATACTACTTGCTTTAAGTCTAAAATGTTAAAACTGAAGATTCTGAATTATTTAAACTCGGTTATTGCGAAACTTTTTCGAAAGCTAATCAATAGTGTTTTACATTAGAAATACATTCGATTTTGAATTCCAAGCTCCGTCTCGTGATTTGCAAGGTTAAGAGCGAGTTTCACTTTACTTTAAACTAATTAAAAAAATTTCAAAATACTTTTTTACTTTACCAAGTGATAAATAAACCGATATTCGCTTAGTTAAGTATTTCGTGTAGTTGTAAATATCCCGCTTTATTAGTTTTTAACGAACTGGTATTAGAATAAATAAATTTACAAACTTTTATCCCCATATTATACTCTCAAGGCCTACTTTCACTAAAGAAAAATGTCAAATATATAGAAATATACTCGTGTAGTCAAATGGGTAAAAAAGGTAATTAATTAATTAATTAATCTCGTCTCTCATTATAGAACACAACACCCTTTTAATTTTTTTTTTTTGTATATTTAGTAAGTTAGAATAACGAAATTTGAGGATATGGTCGTGTATACATATATTAGTCCTTAACAATTTTCAAAGATATGACAGGAAGAAGGACATTTTCATAACCAATGCGGCCATGTGCACTTCGAATTTGTATACTTTTAAATTCTAAAATTTTCGCTTTTTTATATCCATGCAATTTCATCTTATCGCGCGACTTTGCCAATATAAGTATGCGATTTTCGATTTTCTTAATTTTTCGATTTTAAGCTTTTTTTGCGTACATATGGTAGATAATTTTTCGAATAATGGAAAAATCGCACCAAACATTGGGAGAAAAGATACTATTTAAACCTATATACGTAATTTTTTTTATTATAAACATTGTTTATCTCAGAGTGGGAAGCAGAAAACAAAAATTAAACCAAATTCCTTCTGACTGGGTCTATATATTTTACGAGTTCCAGACATTAAAGCGATCCAATTTTCATATTTTATATTTATGTAGTTCAGTAAACTAAAACAACTTATTCTATATACTTTCATAAATACTAAAGCGCACAACGCGAACTAAAGGTCGAAGCGGGCGGAATCTAGTATTTATTTTTTTAATACAAATTAACATACATGTGTGCATGATTTTATCCTTAGTACCAATGATTTTCTAACCACAACACCAATTATTTTTTCAATTTCAGTTTTGTGGACCAATTTAAAATTTAAAAAGGATATTTATGTACCAATCAACCTTTTCGGAAAAAAAATCTTCAAAAAACTTTTATTCAACATTCGCAATTACAATCTGAATTTAAAAGTATTTTTGGTTGCCAAAATCATATTCCTGTCGGAATTTCTGATACAAAACTGTGCCATAACTACGACGCCAATAAAAATGTTGAACATTTTGCCAAGAGCCAGTTAAGTTACCTGACAATGAAGAGTACACACAAAAGTTATAAAGCAGTGGCGGCAATAGACAAACAAAAGTAGTGCAACATCTTTGATATCAAGGAAACTGAGTTTTATAGTAAGCCAACAGTTATTTGTTTGCAAAGCGGATAGATAGCAAATAAAAGTGAATTTACTGACCAGTAAACAAGTATATACACAATCCATACACATGCAATAGCAGCAGTTATAACAACAAAAATATCAAGCCTTATGCGGCACATACTTGTCAACGTACCTACACGCACTTCTACATAAACACATTTAAACGCACATTCACTGCAAAGTTGTTTTGCCATACTGACGAGTGACCAACGCCAGCACCTATGGGCAAGTGTGTGTCAAAGCATCCCTCTGTACTAACAATCGCATTATCCGAAACGGACTTGGCCGCAGCAAATCAAATTTGGAGTAAATTTGCTGAAAGCACCGAATACATTGCGCTCAAGGACGAGCATGGAAATCAATTATGTGAATATTACTATGCGAGCGGCAAGAAGAAAAAGCCGAAAGCGAAGTCGAAGAAGAAGGCGCAAGCCAAGTCAAAAGGAGTCACACCACAGTCGTCAAATTCAACGGATGAGGATAATGATGCGAAGGCTACAGTTGTCGGCGCCACACAGATCGGCTAAGCAAAATCAACATTCAAATGAAAGTCAGTATCCAAATGCGAATCAGAGCCATCAGAAGAGTCAAAACAAAAAACGATCGAAAACTGGTGAAAAACAATCAACAACAACGCAACAAAGCAATGAAAACAAATCAAACCAATGGACAGCAAACATTGTGGCAACAACAGATATTACAAGTAGCACAGTAGCGAAATCCAGTGCCATAGAAAGTGAGGCAGAAAAGTTGCGGCAAGATTGTGTTACTTCAGTTGAAATTACTAATGTTGTTG